TGAAAAAATGTAAACTACAAAATAAGTGCGAAATAATGTAATTTAAGATCATAAAATCAAAATAATGATGATTTTTACAGTGAGGAAAGCTTTAAATGCTAAGAAAACTCTTTTATGATATTTCCGGCAGATTACTTCTAAAGAGTTCCAGATATAATTAAGACACAATAACACGCCGAACAAATACTGAAGTATGATTTTACGAACCATCGAAACTAGTCCTGTGAAAATTTGAAAAAATAACGCTGATTTTTGTTGTTTAAATTCTGAATTAGTTCCAGATATCTTCACAAAATTTGCGTCCTAGTATTACAGTGTTGCTTCAAATAATGTGAACTAAAACTGTAATATTTTATTGATATTTTCTATTTTTATGAGTTAAGCATGTATCAAAATATAACAAAAAATTGACGTTTAGTTAAAAAAAATTAAAAATTTACGAAATGTCTACAGTTTTTTTTTTTTTTTTTTTAAATTCACTTTTATTCTCATTCTTCTTGGAAAGAAAAAAAAAAAAAAAAAAACACACACACACACATTTTGGAGCAGACCTTTTAAAGATTAATCACATCTTAACAAGGTGAACAAATATCTTATGTGAAAAAATTAAGATGAAATGAGATAATTAAGATTCTTTCACATCTTGTTGAGATGTAAAAAAATATCTTACGATCTAACCTTATTTTTAACACTGTTTGTTACATTTATGAGCATTCAAAAATTTTAAATTAAAATATTGTTACTAAGGTACTGAAGAAAATAAAACTGTGCATTTTTAACAAGAGTTAAAAAAGTTGTACAGTGATAGAAAAATGGTGAAAAAAGTTATCCTTCATCTTATCCAAAGCTTGTGTGACCCCTTAAGAAACACAAGCTTTTAGCAGTGAAAAAAAAAAAAAAAAAAAAAAAAAAAAAAAAAATGAAAATAAAAATAAAAAAAAACTAAGGAAATTTAAGGTATCCCATATCATAATCAAAAATAAGAATTTTAAAATACATATATTTCAGCAAAAGAAAATTCAGAATTTTGCAAGCAGCATTAAAGTTGCTAATTCAGAAATCAAACAACAAAAATAAGCGTTATATTTTCAAAATTTTCACAGGACTAGTTTCGATGGTTTTACCGAACCACCATCCTCAGCTGCAAAACCGCAAATGAACAAGATAGGAAATAATGATTAGATAAGATATGATTCTTGTCCAGGCTTTCTTATCTTATCTAATCACTATTTCCTATCTTGTTCATTTGCGATTTTGCAGCTGAGGATGGTGGTTCGGTAAAACCATCGAAACTAGTCCTGTGAAAATTTTGAAAAATATAACGTTGATTTTTGTTGTTTGACTTCTAAATTAGTATTTGTTCGGCGTGTTATTGTGTAAGTATTAAAGTTATCGCTCTTTTTTTAAGGATACTTAATTTATTTTGCTTAAAGTTGAATTAAAGTTATTCGAAAAATCTAATAAACTTTATTTAGTTTATAATTATGTTAGCGGCTCTTTTTAACGCAATCTAGATTTTATTTATTCAGAGAATTACAAATTAAGATGGCTTAAAATTGCATTGTTATTTTTTTTTTTTCTCCTAAAATTATATCTCTGTATAAACTGGTTTTCATTTTAAATAACACAGCATTAAAAAATAAATTTTTTAAACTACAAAGCAATAGCATTAACAATATAATTATGTGTAAAATAAGTGAAGATAAAATGCAGTTGGATAAAGGTCGGATTACCTTATTTTAAGAACAAGAATCTCGGAACATATGCGTTCTCGGGAAAGGGTGCATATGACCTCGTACTTGTGAGCCTCCAATTAAAAAACTAAGTATCATTTATTGATGCAATTATTTGTTCTCGGGAAAGGGTGCATATGACCTCCTACTTGTGAGCCTCCAATTAAAAAACTAAGTATCATTTATTGATGCAATTATTTGTTCTCGGGAAAGGGTGCATATGACCTCCTACTTGTGAGCCTCCAATTAAAAAACTAAGTATCATTTATTGATGCAATTATTTGTTCTCGGGAAAGGGTGCATATGACCTCCTACTTGTGAGCCTCCAATTAAAAAACTAAGTATCATTTATTGATGCAATTATTTGTTCTCGGGAAAGGGTGCATATGACTCCTCCACTTGTGAGCCTCCTCCTACTTGTGAGCCTCCAAAAAAAACTAAGTATCATTTATTGATGCAATTATTTGTTCTCGGGAAAGGGTGCATATGACCTCCTACTTGTGAGCCTCCAATTAAAAAACTAAGTATCATTTATTGATGCAATTATTTGTCTCCCTCGACACTTTCCTCTGATGACCACGTCCAGGACACTTTACAAATATTAATTTCAGTGATTAGAAAGCGTATTACACGTACGTTACACGAGTCTGTGACAGACCAAAGTAGGATGTGAAGAAATAAGAGGAAGTTATGTAACTCTGGTAACAAAATTTTCAAGATATTGATAAGAAGACTCTTGCAACATTTCTACTCTGAAGATGATGCGGACGGTTGAAATTCCTGTCGTTGTTCGATTCTTGCATATCTTTTATTAGTTAATTCTTCCCTTAGAAACTCTTTATTGGATTTTCTATGCTCCTATATCATTATGTGAATATTCAGAATTCACTTTCAAGATTATTTAATGGATAAGCTATAATCGACTTCTTCCTGAAGACCAAATGCTGTTCAAAGTTGAAGAAAAAATCCTTTGTACTAGAGTTGATGCATTTTGCAGGGAAACTGATTAACTAGACGTGCAATCAATCAGTCTCTTTTAAAAATCCCAGACACAGATATGTGGCTGAAAGTGGATATCACCGTTATTAAATCCCGGACTCTGCTTAATTCCGGAAGTCTGGTAACCCAAGATAAGAGTGCTTACGGTTTTAACACAAAATACAGTTTACATGGTGTACTGAAAGTTCTATACGTTCTTCAAATTAGCAAGTAATCTCTTAGACAATTTATACCGTCAAATAAGTAGACTATACAATTTAAGTTATCATTATCATTAAAGTACATACGTTGGAGTTTAAATTCCCCCCAGGAGTTTAAAAAATAAGGATGAAAGGGTTTATTTTCAGAATCTTATGCAGGTACAATGGATAACGTGTCCACTAAAGTCTTTACCCGGTCTTTATTTTTGCAATCATTGGTAGAAGACATATACTTCCAGTTACAAATGGGTTTTAAAAGACGTTTTCATATTTTTAAATTAAAAAAAAAATTAATAAAATATAACTTTTTACACATTCCTCCAGTCACTAGTCTTACATTTAGAAAAGTTTTATATTTGTTATAAAAAAGAAAGAAAAAAAAAAGAAATAAAGTTTGACTCTGACCGACACATTAATTTCAAAATTTGCGATTTTGACGTCATTTACATTAAGGGGGCGGTTATTAAATAAATTAGAATAATTCGAGGTGGCCTTTTTCTCCTTTAGCGTCATTCAGTGACATTTTGTCATTTACTTATGTCTTTATTTATAATTTTGTTGCATTTCCTATGCCGGAAGAATTTTTATACAAGCAATTTAGAAATTTTCGAAGTCTAAAAATACATTATCAATATTCTCATGAATTGTTTTCGACTTTAGAATTATAATCTAGCAATCGTAAAAAAAATCCCTAAAGTACACATATTTTTCATTTTTAATTAATGCAAATAATATTACGAGAGCCACTGTTTTCTGGAACACGAATTTTGTAAGTTGCTGGGAAAAGATCTTCATTTTGAAAAAAATTATTTCGCCCAATATTTTTCAAGATAATCTGCATAGAAATGCCCGTCAGGTAATCTCTTAAAATCAGAACCTTTTTTTAACCAATATTTTTAGGTACGTACAAATGCAAATATTTCGCTGTTCAGTTTGTGTACGGCCCCTGAATATCATTCTCGCTTTTAATATCAAATATCTCACACAAATTTTGTCCTACCGAGGTCAAACTTCATGAGTTTTATTTTTTACAACTAATACAGAATTATCCTAAACGTCAGTATAGGGACTAAAGGAACATATAAAAAACTAGATTTCGTATTTTACAAAGTTGATTTCTCTAAATTTATAAGAATACCAATAACACGAATATTTGCATCATTTAAACATTTTTTTTAGCTGGAGATATATGTGCACGACCAACGGTTGCAAAAATAAAGGCTTAGCAAGGGCTTTTATGGATACAGTGTATAATCATTGTGGTGTATTTTAGAAAATCGGGAATTTATTTTCAGCTTTAGAAATTAGTTATAATAAGAACAGAATTAACGATTTCAACTTAATTCGCAATTACATCTAAATATGCTTATTAAGATCATTTTAATTACGGAGCGCAGTTATATTTCATTAAGAATATAAAGGCTAATCATAAAATACGAACTGTAAAAATTTAGCATGAAAAATATCTCTAAAACATCATTTAAAAGATTATTTAAATTTAATTTATTATTACTAATGATAAGGAAATTAAATGTACAAGAACATTATAAGACATTCGTATGTGCTGCATAATTGAACTACGAAGGTTATACTGCTTCGTAGTTTATAATAATCCAAACTTGATCAGAATTCTACAATTCATAATTGAGAAATAGTTTTGTATATGAGGATTTTTACTATGTAACTTGTAAAAAAGAAAAGAAAAAAGAAAGGAAGGAACAATGTTTACTTTCTAATATCGTTAAAAAAAAGCTTAAGAAGCAAGTAAGACATATTAAAAATGATGTGTTCAATAATATTCATTATAACACCCATAAAATAACATAGATTAAAAGTAAATGAAAAAAATTTGTAACACGAAATTCATTGCTAAATATCAAAAACTAGTACTGTCATTCGTTTAGGCTACTAAAATGGAATATTAAAATAACTGTTCGAGACTTTGGGAGAGATTATAATTTAAATTTTTAATAAAATAGTTAATAGTTCAATATAAAAATATTTTAGTAAGTAAATTATAAGAAAGTGACAACAGAAAAAAACAGTGACAGTTCATTTGCAGACTTACCATTCAAACTTGGTAGGCAAAACAAACCACGTTTCTGATTCGTGGACTCCACTTTACGAAACCAGCATCTGTCAGATGCAGCATAAAAGGTATACAGTAAGTTTACTAAACGTTGGTGATATTTGAGTGACTGTTTACGTTCAACACAAACCAATAAGGGAAATTTTGACCTGAAGTTAGAACAGTTACACGAGTATCTAGAAAGCAAAGTCCCGTGCCGCACAGTCGTGATCGCTAACCTGTTTTGATTCCGGGTGAATTCGTACGGCCTCAGGCAAATCCTGTTTCCCTCTCACCTTTTACGACCATTACGAGCATGCGTCGCGCCATCTGCAGGCTGATGTGTGCTCTACCGCGCGGAAAATAGGACCTAAACATTTCCCAAATTGCCGAATAGAGAAGCAAGGCTTATATTGCCAGAATAAAGACTAATAAGAAGATCAATACTTAAGATAATTACATCAATTATATATAAGTGAATTTAGTGAGAGGACAAGAAAGAAGGAGGTCATCATTAATTACAGGATTAATAACAAGAACATTATAGGACTAAAATTAAGAGAGTTTAATTTCTAAAATTAGAAGTATCGGAGCCCAATAGAAGACCTTCAGGAAAGAGGAACGAGAACCAATAAATAAATAAAATGACTAATAAAATCATTACTAGTTAAAAAAAATTAAATACGTCATTATTAAAATAATTAATATTTAAAGTAATTAAACAATTTAAAGTTAAGTAATTAAATAATTAAAATTTAATAAAATGCAAAGAGATAAATTAAAATTTAATGAGCGATTTTTAATATAATTTTATTATTAAAAATAAAATTTTCAAGATCAAAATTCTATTGAAATTGTTGTTTAGTTATATAAAAGAAGTGGAGCCTTCTTATTTAGGGATCTGGTGCACTTCGCCTAGTATTATGAATTATCCCCAAAACTAAGAAGTATCGGTGGGCTACGGGCTCAGTTTAAGTCTTGAAAATTAATACTGTGAAGAGACTTTTAAAAATTTATAAATGGTGAATGGGTCAGCAACCATTTTTTTTATTACTAAAGGCGCATATTTTAATTAAAAAAAATCCAATAATTAATCCTAATCACAATTTGATAATAATAAACAACAACAACAACAATAATAATAATTATGGTTTCAAATATGTTGCCCATCAGCGGCTGAGCGGTAAAGTCACTGACCCTGGTAGTTCTACTCGGGCTCGAGCCCCAGCGATCGGGCTGGCTGAATGGGAGTTTTCTTGGTTTTCTCCACGTGCAACGTACATGTAAGCCAGTTTCTCTTTCAAAGTCCTCCAGGAAGGCATCCCTCTCTATACTTAGATAGCCCTCGAGTTACATGCTTTACTCAATTAATTAACTTAAGCCAATATAGTCTTTGAAGTACGTACATTTATATAAAATAAAGCTTATATAAACACGTAATAACTCAATTAAAATTAAAAGTATGTGCATAAAATAATACACGTTTTGAGAGTCTAAACGGGAGCGGGCAGCTGAAATGCTTCACTGTTAAAGAAAAGTAACCATTTCAAATAAATTAAGTTACTTGATCGGAGGGCCATTGTGACTGTTGTATATAATAGCACAGCAGAAGGTAACAGGTGAGTTGAATACGATAACCACAAATTAGCAGAAGGTGAACCTAAAGGCAAACAGACAAATCAGTCAAATATGCCCTTTCGTCTTGATGTTCTTTATATACATTTGCAGTAAATTTGACTTAATCTCTTCCCACCATCATTTATCTGCCTTAAAATGAATTGAGTTAGATAAACATATCTCTGTCTGTATGTTCTGAGTAAGTAGTAGAATGTTTTTCAATTTCACATATTTTCCACATTCATTGTTACGAAAACTTCCAACGGTGATGAATTGCGTTCTCCGTTTTTAAATGTGTTCTGTAATAAGCGCAGAATTAAGAATGCACGATTGTCTCCCAGGGCGCTAGCATGCACACATGAGAAAAAGTCTATTGTAGCTCGACAAAAACATCAGTTTTCGAATTTTTAATAAGCATGTACAAAAAGCACTTTAAAAAATATTCTGCAATAATATCTGCACCTGCACAATCCGATATTTTTGTTTACATTTAGAATAACATAATCTTAGATGGCTTTTAAAGCAGGTTTTCTCGAACAAAGAGACTTTGTCCGCCTAAATTGCGAACTCCCACAATTCCTGAATGGACGTGTTTTCTTTGCTTGTATAATAGGTTTATAGAATTTACTTTACAGATTTTATAGCTGCAGCTACTACTACATTATTATTTTCTCTTAATGTATTGTGAGTTTAACTAAAACATGCCCAAGTATTGTCAATTATAAAATATTTCTTAAAATAATCACTTTTGTTGAAAGTACTTTCCAAAAATGTGTACCATAGAGTACCGTATTAGTTTTATGTTCGTTGGTTAAAGTTACTTAAAAAGATTATAAAATATCAGATTCTACTTTACAGTTCCTTTGAATAGAACATTTTGTTTGCAGGTAGTAGTAAGAATGTTCATTTCATGGATTATGGAAAAGATGTTATTGTTAATAAATACTTATTATTGCCATTAAAACAGGACAACGTCTTCCATCTATCACAATTTAAGTGTAATTCAAAGTTACATAAATATATTTGGGGCAAATGGTAATGTAAAAACAATTCTACGCGCATTGAAACACGTTTATTTCGAAACTGATTGCAAAGTGGGTGAATAATAGTAGGATTTGAAACACATTTGTGCAGAAAACTCTAAAGGAGTGAATTCCTAAATTCACCTGCCAACTTTGACCATTTTTTCTGAATCAGCAAGAAAATCTCTCCACAAATCGAAGCAAACCAAAGACAGTTTTTTTCCGAAAGTTTCTAAAGAAGGGAAACTCTCATGTGAACCTCTCATTTACAGGTATGGATTAGCAGAAGTTTTCTTATGCTAATTAAAATTGCTTAATAAAGAGTGGGAAAAGCACAGCCGCCAGTACTGCAAAACTTTCACGAAAATTGAACAAAATGGAAATAGGCTATTTGAATTCATCTTAAATTATAACATCTCCCGCACTAGAACACTGTTAATCCAGCTATATGGATGATGTAAAACGAATGCATCTGTGTACAAACTTCTAATGGACTGGTAGCGACAATATCAAATTATTGTTATTGCCTGTAAGACAGTTGTTGTTCGAAGATATTCTGAAGGCCAGCCTCAAGAAACAAAAACAAAACAAAAAGGCCCCAGTTCACCCCCCCCTACAAAAAAATTCTTCGAACGTGAATATAAACATTGACATATTGAACATGATATTGGTCTTATCAGATATGGACTAGAAAAAACAGAAATCCTCTTCACAGGAGGTGTTTATTATACTTGATATTCCAGTCTTCTTAGATGAAGCATCTATAGACCGAGCTGCTGATAGATACGAATATAATGATGAAGAAGAATAGTTATTCTTATGCTTCCTAAATTACTAATAAGTTTCTTAGTATTTCAAGTATTTTTTAGTTTTCCATTCTTTTGTTGAAAAATAATGACCACTTCAAGTATTCTAATTATTGTTAGAATTTCATGTACTTTTTTGTTAGCACTTCTTTTCTTTCTTCCTTTCTTTCTTTCTGAAATTTTTTATTCTTTTACAGTAGAGTAAAGATGTGAAAAGAAAGTTTTATTTATTTATTTATTTTAAATCTGAAAGTTTTTATACTACATAATGCGTCTTTGAGAAGGACTTTTCTTTCCGGTTTCCCAAATATTTTTAAAATCTTTTTCACATCTTTAAAACCCTTTGCACACATTATAAAACCTTTTGCACATTTGCAGCATTTTTCGGTCTCCACATACGTTCAAATATATATAATGCATCGGTAATAATAGGTCGTAGAGACATTAGGTTATTTTTGAAACAGGAAGGAAGTGAAAAATGAGCAACGCCTTCGCGGGGAATCGAACCACGGACCTCTGGAATACTCGCCCAGCGTGCAGACTACCACACCACGAAGGCATGCGTAGAAAGTGGAAGAAATACCTTATATACTCCACCTTTTAAAGAGCGACTGGGGTTTTTTAGGGGACCCAATCGCCAAATCCTGGGTGTGGAGATTCATCATTTACCACCCGTTCCTGTTCCGGCGCCAATGTAGGGACATTAGGTTATTTTTGAAACAGGAAAAAGGGAAAATTGAGCAACGTCTTCGCCGGGAATCGAACCATGGACCTCTGGAATACGCGCCCAGCGGGCAGACCACCACACCACGAAGGCATGCGAAGAAGGTGGGAGAAATACCTCAATCCGATGCTGTAGTCTTAATGGTGTGGCAAACTCTATGTGAATCAAAATATTTAGTTGTCCAAAATATTATACAAATCATATAAAAGCACTATTGCTTTGTTCATTTATTTATTTTCTGCATTATTGTTTTAAGTAATCTAACTATCATACGAATTTAAACAAACGGATTAAGGGAATTATTTTCTGGCAGTATTATATTAAGATCTCGTCGCTTTCTTCCATTGAGCGATAAAACATTTTTTTTTTTTTTTTTTTTTTTTTTTAGTCTTTTACAAATTTTAAAATTGAAGTCTTGAGTTTCAAATGTTTTAAAATAGGAGATTATGCAGATTTAGTGAAGCAACTTAAAAAACTTTGCACGCATTCTTTGAGAAACAGCTTGACATTACGAGTTGTTCTAGAAATACTGCCAAGCAAATAAAAGTCAGAAATGCTAAATTATTTCTAAATAATACCTACCTTATAAGTTATTCCTGATTTCAGAGTTATTTTAGAGTTTGTATTGCTAGATGATGGTATGATTTAAAATATCTTGTTTGCAGCCCTGGGTACGCTCTATTGAGAAGTGCAAGTGTAGACAGTATAGTCCATTAACGGTCGAATAAACGGGTTGCGGAATAACCTGAGTGAAGTAAAAAATTTTAAGTTTGTTTTTAGTTGAACGATGGAAACATTACAACATGAAATCATCAGAATAAAACAAACTGCTGAGGGAAATACAAAAAGGAGAAGAAAATTTTAAGTTTGTTTTTAGCTGAACGATGGAAACATTACAACAGGAAATCATCAGAATAAAACAAACTGCTGAGAGAAATACAAAAAGGAGAAGAAAATGAATAGAATAAGTGCGGTGATAGTGGATTATGTCGCGAGGAACATAAATTATCCCCAAAAATACATAATTTAATTATACGTAATCTGGAAAATGTAATCATTGTTAAACAACTCATTAAATACTAATTTCT